GCAAGGCAAGGCAAGGCAAGGCAAGGCAAGGCAAGGCAAGGCAAGGCAAGGCAAGGCAAGGCAAGGCAAGGCAAGGCAAGGCAAGGCAAGGGAGGTACCTGAGCGTGAATGTTGGAGCCAGCCCTCTCTGTCCAGGGTCGTTGGTGTGACCCCAGGGTTCTTGGTGTTCAATACCCAGTCATGGTCCTGCTGTAGGAAGTGTCAAGAATGAAGCAGGCCTTCTGCTTGGTATAAGAGGGCATGACTCTAGTGGATTTTGCAACTTGATAATAAAACTCTGAGGAGAGAGTGACCTTGAGATGAGGCCAAATTTATTTATTTTTCTGCCCCTACATCTTGCCCACCCTTTTCTATCACTTGCTCAACAGAGAGCAAAGGGATTTCCAAAAAAAGCACCAGGAACTTAAGGACTTTGATTCCAGAACAGAATGGGGTGGGCTAGGCAGGGAGTAAGGCCACCAGAATCTGACAAAAGATGATTCGGTATCTGGATGTTCCCCAGCCCTGATAGCTGTTGTCACCTGTCTGCCGAAGAGACACTGTCCTCTCATGTCCCTGTAGCTTGGCTTCAGCCCTGAGATCTCCTGAGAAGATGTCAGGTGAGCCCGGCTGGTCTGCATGACCTGTCATGGAGCTGGTCAGCTGCCCTCCCCAAACCTACTGCCTTCACACAGGGCTGCTTTAGCTCTCTCTGAAATTGATAGGAAAAAGAAGGAAGAAACTATTTGGCTGCTAAATCTCCTTTCAACCTCAGGGTCTGCTTATGGTCATAGTGACTTTTGTTCTTTTGGGAAGCAGTGGAGAAGGGAATTGGGTGGCGGCGGGATAACTATTCTGCTCAAATCTTAGAAACATTCTACAAACTATACCACCAAAGCAGGACAGACATCACGACAAGATCTTGAATCACAGGATGTTTACATAATATAATGCCCATGGCAGACGAATACTAAATACAGCAAAGTACCTGAGACCCCCCCCCAAAAAAAAAAAAAAAATGAAGGGAAGAAAGAAGAGAACCAAAAGGAGTCTGGTGTCCTGACATCTGGAGGCTGAAGGCCCCCTGTCGGAGTCCCTTGGTGGCTGTGTGTGAATGTCCAGTGGCTCCTGGCATCACATCTCAGCTTCTGTGGAGTGGACCTCTGTTGCAGTGATGGCAATTCCTATGGCGAGGCTGCCATTGTCAGAGAAGAGCTGGGCCAGAGAGGTGCTGAGGACCAGGCAGTCCCCATCCGTGATGATGGAATCCACACATTCGAGGACAGATCTTGGAGTGGCCTCCCATTTGAGACGACGATGGTTTCTGTTGAGCTCCAGACGATAGGTGAAGCAGTCGGCCTGGGTGGGAGTCCCAATCAGCATCATGGTGGCAAAGAACTGGGGGTGCCCTTCATGCCTCTCCTGCTTCCTTAGCACCAGCAGAAAGTGGTGACCGAGGCAGGAGTGCATGATGATCCAGTCGGCCGGTGCGGGCAAGTGCATGTCCGTGGCCAGGAAGACAATCTCTGCTCCCTGGAGGATGTCAACCCTGTGGATCTGCCGCAGGTGGGGCACTACCACCTCCAGGTGGCCTTCCCACTGGCAGGAGAACAAGGGGCACATGCAGGGCGTCACCTGGGTGGCGTGCAGCCCTGCCTCCTGGTGGTGGAGGAGGTGGGGGCGGGCATGATGCCGCAGGTGGTGGTGGTGGCGGCGGTGGTGAGGGGGGAGATGGTGAGGGTGGAAGCCGCCTTGGTCTGAGGTGCTCTGAGTGATGGCCCGTCTGCTGGACACATACTAGAAGAAAAGAGAAGAGCATTAGTGGGCCATAAGGCCCATCTCTCTCTCCCTACAATTTGCCTGGTGCCCAAAGTGTTAAAAGCAGGCAAGCTGTCCAGGACAGAGAACATGTCATATTTTTTAAAAAAACAAGGAACACTGTAGGTACCGGAGGAGATAGAGGGGCTGAGATTCTGAAAAATCAGCCCAAGAAAATACAATATTCATGTCTTTCTGATTCTTTAACAAGCTACCCAAGCAAACAGGCAATTTTCTCCCTCAAATAACAGGCACCAGGATGGTCATCAATCATAAAAAACAAAAAAAAATCTTTGTGTTTGCTTTTTTAGCATTGTTGATTTTTTGCGCAGCCAATGGTGGTCAATGGGTTTTAAAATTCTATCATCGTTATTTTTAGAACAAAATTTCTCTAATACCGGTTTGTCTTCCCAGTGTTGCAGGAATCATGCTGTTTTGGGCTCCATTTCCCCCATCCTCAGGCAACTGGTGAGTATTTGGAGCATGGAGATGGAGGGCACCCCATCCTGGACTCCTGAGACTGCCCTACTCACATTTTTGCGTGTTCCTAGCTCTCTGCTCCAGAGCAGCTTCCCCAGGGCTCACCTCCAGGCACCCCCTGCTGTGACAATTGCCTGACCTTTTGTTCCATGGTGGTGTGTCCACAAGTGCTCTCAACGGCACTAACATCTGTGATGGCATCTTCTGAGCACGTGTCATGCTAATCAGGAGGTACTGAGTACCTGCTGTGACCAGGGCCCGAAAGCATTAGGGATACAGCTATGAGCAAGATAGACGCTGAGTCTCTTAGTGTGGCTGGTACAGCACTGGTACACTTACAATTAATTACAGTTTGACAAGGGTCCTCCCTGCGCCATGAGAACTGTGATTCATATTTTTTAGCTGAAGGAACAGGCTTCAGTAGTTATGTGCTTGAGGTTACAAGGCTGGCAAGGGATAGATTCATTTTTACCTCTCATGACTCTCTTTTTTTTTGGGGGGGGGGGTTGGTTTTTTTCTTGGTACCAGGAACCGAACTCACGACCTTGCGCTTGCCAGGCAGGTGCTTTGCCGCTGAGCTAAATCCCCAGCCCTCTCATGACTCTTTATATAGGGACACCTACCTTCCCCACTCTCAGTCATGCTTGCCTTCAGCTCCCTCCCTCTCCACTCCTGAGTATTTCTTGCCTTGAATTAGCCTGCAGGCTCTGGCCCCTGTAGGGGATGTGGCAGTTCTGCAGTGCACTCCAGTCACAAAGACCTCATCTGGCAGCGATTGCCTAAGCCACCCTTAGACAGAGATTGTTCCTTCGGCCCTAACTCTTCAAATGTGTCCTGGACTTTGTGTATCTTTGGCACCTGCCTCTTCACTTTGCTTCTATTCATTCACAAAGTACAGAGTATGAGGTGAAAAGCCATCTTTCACATTCACCTCTGTGGCTGCCAGAGTTCTCTCTCCTGGCTTATGTGGCTAGCTGGGGAGCCCTGCCTGGCTTCCCTTTCCTTAGGGCTTACACAAATATACGCATGCACTCACATATATGCATACTCACATAGTCATGCATGTATGCATGTCCATGCGTGCAACAGATACATACAAATGTGGATGCATGTAAAAACATACAGGTGTGTGTGTATATATATATATATATACAATGCACACAGACACCACACATTCACGACATACTTGTACATAAGCATGTGCATATGCTCACGGTATACTGAGATTACCACCTGGCAGTGGAGGTGACCTAGATGCAGATGGGCATCAGATGAGCGCTGTTCTTGAGTTGTTAGCTCCAGCTGCCAGTACGTGGTCTCCCTGCGCAAGTGTGAGCAGCAGCGGTCTTTCCAGTAGCTTCTGCCTCCTCCAGATGACAGTTACTGGGTATTCTACTGTCACCTCTCCTAAACCTCCACCAGGCCCCAGTGCCTCAAAGTTGACAGTGTCTCTTCAGCTATGATGCAATAGGCTGGGTTCTAAAACCTGCTAGTGATGAGTCTGACTTCTCCTTTTTGTTAAATGTGGGGGGAGGAACTAACTGTAGGCAGCATCTACAAAGTGTGAGATACTATGTAAAGTAGGTGCATTTCAATAATTATCACTTGCCTTTTCACAGTAAAGATCAATTTATCATTTTTAAAAAATAAATCTTGCTTAGCTTCCACTTGCCAGCTGGTGACACGTACCATTTATTCACTGGCAAGGGAGGGTGTTTCTCCCATTTCCTGAGGTGAAGAAGCCCGGGCTCACACACTTCTTCAACCAAGCTCAAGGATCCTCTTTTGTTCTCCCCCTAGCCTGAAATTTCCCGCTTCTGCTGTGCTCAAGAACACCTAGTCTGGGGCTGTCATGGAAAACTCCAAATGCTGACCCCTTCTACTCTCTGCTCTCACACTGTCTTTACAGTGACCGCAAGAAGGACATGTGCTTGTCTTATAGATCAAGCAACTGGGACACAGAAACATTGCATGCGTATGTTTGTGTAAGCCCTAAGCCACTTGCCCAAAATCACACAGCTCATTAAGGGATAAGGCTGGGAATGGAGCCCAGATCAGTTAAAGGTGTCAGAGAGCGTTGACAGGGAAAACCATAGGCGGAATGTCAAGAGACTCTTGTTTATTTACTTTACTTATGGAGCAGCCTTGACTAAAGCATTTTTCTTATTGGCAAAATATTTACCTCACAGGGTTGTTAGTAGATCATACTAAATAAAGCCTGTAAAACGGCATTAAAAATGAAGCCAAGTAAGACACGAAGGTGGTCTTTCCACTTTGGTGCATTTGGGTGAAGATTTTGGTGACTTTTAACACTGGAGGATGGCTGCCTGTCTCCATACCAGTCAAGTGACACTCACGCACAGGCAGTATCCTGGCTGAACGCAGGCTGCTGTAAACTTCTGGAGAGCCACACCTTGCCTAGAGCCGAGCCTGGAGCCTCCTGACTCAGCCTTGAGCCTTGATACCGGAATGCCTGAAATCTCACTTCAGAAGTGGCTTCTGGATAAGTTATCCTCCCCATGCCCTTCCCCCATCCATTTTCCATTTTATCTGCTGAGATCTGTGTAGCTAACATCAGAATTGTGACATCACAGCAGGGAGGAAGTGCAGAGGAAATACTTTGGTGTCCCTTTTTCCCTCCAGTCTTGCCAGTGTCTTCACAGGTAACCCATGCAAGAAGCCTGCCATCAGAAGGGGCCAGGGCATGCACTTAGCAGGGGTTGGCTCTCTTTGGAAGTGGTCTGGGAGAGGCAGAGGGGTGAAGAGGGGATGGCACCTGATGCAGACATCTCAGTTCCCTCCTCTGCGATGCTGCTGGTCTGAATAAGCTAGGCCTCCTGGGCTGAGCTTTTATGGGGCTTAAAGTGAGGGAAGAAAGAGGTGAGTCCACAACTCAAAACATTTGTTCAGCAACTGCAAGAATAGAGAATAGAGAGGAGGATCCTTGTTCCTGTTTCACGAACTCCCTAGTACTGTGTATATTATAATACAATGCAAAATGCTGTATCTGCATCCATGATTTTAACCAACCACAGATTAAAAATATTTGACAAAATGAATCTGTAAAAATGTGTGTGGAATTTTTCCTTTTCATTCTGCCTGAAACAATATATAGTCTAATAACAAATCACATAACATTCATACCACATTAGTTATCATAAATAATCTAGAGATGATTTAATGTATTTAGGAGGATGTTTATGGGTTCTCACAAATTCTAGGCTATTTTATAAATTGGACTTGGGTACCCAAGGATTGTAGTGTGCAGAGAGGGTCATGAAGCCCCCACCCCATACTGCAGGAGGACTCTGAGCACAAGGGGCTCTGCTGGGAGATAGCTTTTATGGCCAGTGTGAGGGGCACACAGTGCAGCATGAAGGGTGACCACTCTAAGAAAACTGGCAGAGGACTTGCCAACAGGAAGAGCAGGTTTGAGGAAGCCAGGTAAGAAAGCACATAGGATGTTTAAGAAATCACAAGAAGTTTCCAAAAGACTGGTAGACAGGGGGAATCTGGTGGAGATGGAGAACAACTGGGCCATATTCCCAAAGTCTCTTAAGCTAAGCTGAGGGTAAGAGGCCTCAGTGTACAGTGGAAACCAGCAGGAAGGTCCAACACACTCACCTATGCCCCTGTGGGCAGCATGATACCACCAAGGCACCAGCAGAGCCTGCCCCGAGATAGCGTTCCGAATAAGGTCCAACTGTTCATCCACCTGCAATCTCCTGTTTCTTCCTTTTGGCTTCATCTTCTATCGTATTTTTAAAAAATTGTTACCCAGTTATAAAGGGACCAGGGTATAATCCAAAGAGACCAAATGGTGTGATTGCAAACAGAGTGGGATGTTATCGACTCATGGCGACCTGCTTACTTGCTGGGCTGTGGGAGGAGGCACTAATGAATGAAGCCTTAATTTTTCATTTTTTCCTGCTCTACCTTCTGATGCAAAATAAGTTTCATTTAAGTGATCCTTGGGCAAAGGAGGTCACAGGGCTGCTGGCAGGGAGAAGGATTCTTTTAATTGGCAAAATGCTAATCGTTTTGGAAAATGAATTCTAATCTGCCCATCTAATACTGTGGATGTGTGAGTAATTACTTTCCTTCACTAAACTGTTAATGCAACATTAATGATTACACTAATTAAAACTAATGAACTCTTACAGACTGATAAACCCCCTCAGTCAGTCAGCAGATGCCTTCTTTCTATTGGCTGTATTTAACTTCCCATTTGGAAGAAAGATTTTGTATTAACCTTTAGAATAATGTGCAAAATTGGGTTTAAAAATGTTAGGCTTTATAGACTAGGTATAATTTTTTCTCTAAGCATTAGCTAGGCCATTTCCACTGAGGGTGTAATTGAATTTAAAAACACATTTCTTAATTTGATCAGCCACACTCCCTTGATTGGTAATGGCTATCCCTCTGAATCCTGCTTCCAAAGGGGAAACCTAGCCCTGGAAATGTCACACGACCTTTTCTCCAGCTCTGCTCCCCATGGTCAGCAAGATCACTTAGAGAATTGCTTTTCTTATCCACTGGACTCCAGGAACGTTGCTGTGCTAATACATTTCAGTGGAAAGAGGACTTTGCACCTAATTTTAAATGACAGACTATTGCGTTGAGTTTGCTCCTGCTCTTATTTGTAGTAATTAGCTAAGGTGCTTAGTCCTTGGTGAAGGGAAGAAGAGAAGAAATGCTATTAGTACATTTCACACAAAGGGAGGAAGAGCAGGGTGTGTGTGTGTGTGTGTGTGTGTGTGTGTGTGTGTGTGTGTGTGTGTTTGCAGCGGGCAACATTTCCAGGCAGGTATTAGCATATTGGGATAAAGTCAAGGCCTAAACAAAGTTCAAAATCAGGTCTGCTCAGAAGGAGAATAATTGCGACTGCTCCAGTTTCCAAATTCTGTAGTGTTTAAAAATCCTAGGAAGGCTACATGTTGCCCTTTCAGTTTTCCTGGGGTGCCCTGACTCTTCATGTCTTCTTTCTCAAACCTAGTGTGACTGTTGCACAGGCATAAAAAAACCCAGGAGGACAGTGGACTGTTGAGAAATAAGGAAAATAACAACGAGACTTTACTCCCTGCGATATCTTAATGCATCGCATGCTCTTTTCCCTCAATACCAGACTCAGTTCCTGTTTACATTTGGTTCTTGGGTGGATCACATCTCCATTTGGACAGCATGATGTCTGCAATTTTCTTTAAAATATTTTAATATGAAGAATGTGACATACATGTACATATACTTTTAAACTGTACCCTAGGAGCTGCTAATTCCTGGATCAAGAATTTACGTTTCAAGATGATCATGTAACATTTTATTTAAAAAGATTACATTCTAGAGATATTGAGACAGTTGCCTCATTTCCTATCCATGCTTCTGATTCACAACAGATGCTGTTCATTACCACTCCTGTATAGGTCTTCATTTGGTGAAATCAGTGCTTTGTCAATCAGCATCATGGATTCTAGGAATGGCCTCTCACTGATGAAATTAGTGAGGACTGGTTAAAATAGAGAGATTCCTCCCTTTACAAATGGTTCCTGAAGGTTTATTCCCTAAATATTCTATGCCCAGCTTCTGTGTCAGGACTTCTGGTGGTCTGATGCCATCTCTTAATTGTAATGGAGCCTCACTTCTGTAATATCACTGCGTCCAAGGTTTCTTTTCTAGTGAGCAAAATTTTGTAAATTGGTATCATTAGTGAATACCCACAAGAGCCTTGAGTCTTTAGCTATCTATGTCTTCAACTCATTAGATAAGATAGAAATGGAGGCTGGGGATATAGCTCAGTGGCACAAGTGCCTGCCTGGCAAGCATAAGGTCCTGAGTTTGATTCCCGGTACCAAAAAAAAGAAAAAAAAGAAATGGAGTATTACTTTAAAAAGAGGAATATGACAACTTTGGTGGGAAAATCTATTTAAAAGCCCACAGGTGAGAAATAATGAAAGAAATCAAGACAGATGTCTACACAGACACTGGTTTAGGGTCTCAAAGTCCTCCTAAACTGATCTTCTTATAAATGCAGTTCTTGGCTCTATGAAGGAATGGCAAGAAAAATGTAGATGACATCATGAAATCAAAAAATACATCTCCAAGTCCCCAAGCTTAAGATCCCATGGATCTTCTTTACTTTCTATATCTTAGCCCTTAGATGTTCACGGTTATGTGATTTGCCCATGAATATTTTTGTTCATTGAGGATATCAGACCATGGACTGTTTCATGCCAGTACAGTGCCCAACACACAACCAATGCTTGACACATATTTGTTGCCCATATCAATGTGTTAGTAATAGCTTCTTCTATGAGGAGCATTCTGGTTCTGTCCTTTATATCATTCAGGTCTGTTAGGCATGGTCCCACCTGGTGATGTCTGCTTGAGACCATCAGCTGCTATAAGAGGGGGATGTGGCTCCTTCCCTGACATTTTAAGGAGTCATATAGCAGTTAAGATTTTCCATATCTCACCTTGCACTGAAAACCACTAGTTGATGGTCTCTGTTTTCATCTGGGCTGGAGGTGATAGAGAACAGTGGTTATATTTGATCTGCCTGCTGCCAGCTTCCATGATGGGAAAACATAGAACTTTGCAGTGTTTGGCATGTAATAGACTTTCACTAAGTATAAATTGCCTGAATGAACGATGGGATGAATCATTCATAAACAAAACCCCATTCTGGATCATGTGCATTGGAGGCTTTGCCATGTGTCCTTGCTTTTTACCTGCTGGAGAAAAATGTATTGTGTGCATAAATAAGCCCACGGATGTGAGCTCATCAGGAGGCTGCCCTGACAGCTCCTCACCAGAACAGGACAGGGATGAGACACAAAAGTTGCACTAGATCCTGACCAAGAGGTAGGTGCTGAGCTGAGCCCAGCTGCCAGCATGGAAATATAATACTAGCTCCCAAAAAGAAATGTCTCCTGCCAGTGAAGTATTTTCTTTGCTTTTACTTTTTATAGCGCTTACTGAAAGCCTCCATATCCCCTTTAATGGGAAATTGCTTCCACAATTTGGTCCCCAGACCAACACAGGAGATCCATCCTCCTCCTGGATGGATCTAGACTCATGTTTCCCTCACCTAAGCAGGCCCTTGGACCTAACAGAAGACAGGATGCCTCACGTGTCCCTCCTCATTTTCTGTTTTCAGTCAGTGGGAGGTAACTTCAACCCTACCAAAGACTGTTCCCTCCAGCTCAATCCTCCCCATTAGAAGAACAGTTAATGGGCTGTGTCCACCCAGAATCCCACAGTCTACCCTTCCATACCACCTGGATAACTAGGATGCTGTGATTTCCTCTCAATGGCTTGAAGTCCATTCCTTGCAACCCATGCTACCTCAGGAATCCTTCCCCTAGAGTGCAAACCCCAGGACATAAGGTGTGGCCGACTGAAGGGTGTGAGTGATGCTTGGATATGTCTACTGTAGTGTCTGTTCACCTTTGCACAAAGCCCATCATAGTATAGGATGAAGCCTGGTTTGGAAGAAAGTGAGACAGATCACTGGCTGGGAGCTGTGCATACAGCTTGTTATGAAGGTGTGATTATTAAGGTAGAAGGATAGAACATTTTTCAGGCTCTCATACCTTGATTCTTAACTTTTAAGTATTTACATATATAGTATGTGGGCCTCCACTTATACTTTTGCCTGGACCTCTACATATGTTAGAGGCGGGCCTGCAGTCCAAAGCCCACAGTTGGAGGACTGCTGCTCCCTCTCCATTTACTCTTTGGCTTTGCTTTGTATCTTCCGGGCTTGGAGCATGCTGATGAGTCTTGTAAATCATGTATATGAAAGACTTTTACCTGAAAGCAACTTTTTGTGTTGTCAGACTTTTACATCTGCAATTGGCAAGTGAAACCAGGGTCTGCACAAGCCGTTCAAAGG